AGACGCCTGGAATTTACACGAAAAGAGATGTATTCGCACTGGAATTGGCTGGATCAATTTCAACGCTAAGCGATTTGCAATCATAAGACTCCATCAGTTATATATCGCATGCGTCAGATTCAGGCTAATTTTAGATCTAATCAAGATTGCGTCAACCGGTTTGCTGGAACACAGACCTTTCGTAAACCCACAATTTGTACTCTCCTCGATCTAAAATCGGTCTTGGACTCAGTGGAGCACCCGAAGCTCTTGCTCTCTGTCTTTTACTTATGTGCTGGAGAAATGTTTTAATAATTCGATCCCTCTCTACCAATATCCAAACCGAGTTGGAGCCTACAGGTTGTTTTCTAACGGTTTCACGACGAAAACCGGTTTTTTATCAGGGTTGCTTTCTCTCTTTCTGTATTCAACTTTGTGGTAGATTTGCTTCTGGAAACGATCACTTCTCGTGCGAGGAGAGCAGCGCTTTTTTTTACTCCCAGGTGAACGATGGTTTAATCTGAATTACGCAAGGGGGAAGGGTACTTTTGGATGGTAATACAAATGAGCCTACAGTGGATGATGTAGGTGTTTTTTTTAGTTACGTTCGGCGTACGTCCCGCACCTCCATAATGCAACATTCTTACACATCATTGGGTAGCTTTCTAGCTCTCAACCTCACCGTAACTTTCGGAGCAACAGACGGAGTAGACAAATTCTGTCATGTGGCTCTCACCTGGCGGCAAATCTCGGATAACTTTTCCTCACGTATATAAAAGGTTCGGTTGGTGACGTCCATGACTCTGCCGCGATATTCGCCTGTGTGTGTGTGTGTGTGTGTGTGTGTTAGTGCATGATTGAATGTACGCTGCAACGGTTCGGCAGGTGCTGTTCTGTGTAATAGAAGCATGGTCACTATGGGAACAAGACAACGGCATACTATGAGATAACTGAAGGCGAAAAACTGTATTATTACTAGCGTCATTAGAGAAAAAGGTTGTTGATCTCATGCACCTCTGGTAGACATGCATTTTTAGTGCTATTTGCTGTGAGACAAGCATGATGCCAACTCTACAACAATAATAGGGGGTAGGTGGATTGGGGTACAGAACAGAGTGGAATTAGGGTGAAACAGTTGAACACGGGACAATGGAAGATAACTGGGATAACAAATTTTTGTGTTTCACCGTACACTTGTTATTTTTTGTGTTGCTTTTACGGGGCACGGGATTTCGACAAACAGACCGTATAACATTCGCATCACTTTCATCTGTTCTGGATCATATCTCTCAGCGTCTCTAACCAACGACAATTCTCATCCCTTGGGCCCCAACTTGAAAGGCGGGTTGCACCAACCGAAACCAAAGCTGAAGCCAGCTTCCGCATGGCTCCACGCTATGTTATGGTCTGACTGCCGCGTCGCTTCTTCCAGCCCTGCCCGGTACGTGCGAAGAGAGCACAGAAAGGTAGTCGATGGACAGACATATGCAATACGTGACCAAGCCATCAGAGGCGGTTTACAGCGATTACTCCCGTTAGAGAACGATTATCCGCACCCAACACACAACGACGAACCTCGTCANTACTCACTCGGAGACATCGGTGGTCGAATACAGAACGTCGATTAGCATCCTCAACTCGGAGGGTTCGGGTCTCGCAACCGTGAAGTAGAAAACTACGAACCGCGGCGATGTACACCGTTCCCTTAAGGGGCAGTCGGATGTCATGGCGGAGCCACAGGTCTCGCAAGTTGACGAAAACTGCTCTAGCTTTCGCTGTTCGTGATGTGATCTCCTCCCCAACACCACCACCAGCTGCTGTCAAGGTCCCGAGGTACTTAAAACTCTCAACTACTTTTATCTGATCACCACAGAGGATGAATGCAGGCACAGACTCCTGCCAGTCTTGGATGAGCAATTTGCACTTGGAAGATGCAAAGCACACACCATATCTGGATACCTCGATCGCCAAGCGATTCAAAGCGTCTTGGACTGCCTGTGTGTTGTCACCCAGCAAGGCAATGTCATCGGCATATTCTAAGTCAAGGACTCTGTTCCCTGAGAGGAGTTCGACTCCACCGTTTGCTAGACCGGACAAAGCACTTCGTAGAACATCCTCTGTGTTTCAGCCGTACACTTGCGAAACCCTGTCTCGTTAATCGAATCACCAGTGTTTATCATGCCTGTGTATATAATATCACACCTCTCAGTTCCCGTGAGCCACATTCTCATTACATTCGCGTGTTTTTTCTGTTCCGGTTTCTTTCAAATTTGTTACGCAATTTCAATTTAAATGGACGCAGGAGACGTCCTAAATCCACTCACTGTTCCAGTAGTTCGTGCAAACATGCAATCATTCTTAAGACTGATTAGATTGGGAGCAAGCTTAACTGCCCCTCCGTAAAATAGGTTCTCTTTCCGATTTTTCGCGCCTTTGCTCGCCTGTTCGTATAACTAAGCAATAGTGACCATACTTTAAACAAGTACTGAAGATGTTGCCTCGGCTGGTGATGAAACTTTTGCTAGCAACTTGGCGAAGGTCGTCGGAGAGGCAAAATGCGACTTTGTTCATCCGAGCTGCAGGAACCGATTTCCAATACCTACCTTGTCAGTAGGTGAAAACTTTCTTATTCCATGACTTAGCATCCAACTCAAGTGTCCGTTTTCTGAGCAATAAAATTGTCTTCTCATTGTGAATAGAATCGCGGAGCTGAATTTTCAGTTCCAATCTTTTTTATTGTTCCTCGCTAAATCTCCTCTTTTTTTAAATTTATTTTTTCCATTTCCTCAGGTGATTCGAGACCTTGGTCTCTTCGGTTTGTACAAAGGAGCTCGAGCCTGCTTCTTACGTGATATCCCCTTCTCAGCCATTTATTTCACCGCATACAATCATTTGAAAACCGCGTTTGCCAACGAGGACGGGATCAACACCCCGGGCAGTTTGTTAGCTGCAGCCACTTTGGCCGGCGCACCTTCAGCCTGTTTCACCACACCGGCGGATGTGATAAAAACCAGATTGCAGGTAGGTGTACCATGCTCCCGCCTATCGGTACAGTGTCCATATGTTGATCACCACTGTCCGGGTGATCGACAGCGGTAGTTGATGCTTGTTTTAGTAATCAACGTTCACTGGAAGTGTTTTCGGTCGATCAAAAAATTTGTAACCCTCACCGGATTTATCTGCACTCTATCCCATCATTTACTGACCGTAGTTCGGCGAGCAGTGGTCAGTGAGTGGTTTGTCACCTGTGGCACGGAGGAGAATGAAAACACCGTTCCCAATGCACCTGCAACACATGACGTCACGGCATGTCTGAAATTTAAATCCAGTTATGTAATTACCAGCCCAACTCGAGTAATGCGGAAAAAATTACTTGAATAAGGAGAAATTTTCATCTTTGTTGACAAACTATCCGTTCAATGTTTGAAAATATAGGTTCACAGGTCTTAATGATTTTTTGAAACATCAACTGAATCAAAATCGGGCAAGTTGTGTGTTCGCTGAAGTGGATTTACCAATCTATCAAGGTCCCGTTGGTGCTTTGGAGTCGTTGCTATTTATATAGTTTGGTGCAGGACACGTACGTACGCAGTCACACCAAGGTAAATCGTCATGCATTTGAGGGTGTATTAAGGGAAACATTNCACACCTAGGTGTGATGTACAGCAGACGGGGTAAACCCCATAGTTACGAGGACCTGCTGTTCAGTGGTTGAAATCGGCAACCTAAGCCCCGGAGCTTGGAGTGGCGAACCACACAAGGCCCCGATAGGTTAGGCTATGGCAACAAATTCGGATGAGTAGGATCCGATGTGGTTAGGACACCTATTGTGTGTGTGTGTTGTCTAATAGTAATGGTAATCTTTGCACCTCCTTTCGCTGGAAATACAAATGTACTGCTACGTTCGGGAACGGAGTGAGCTCCAACCATTTGGACAGTGGTGGTGGAATTCGAACGCAGATCCTCCGCGGCGGTGATCTTAGCCGCTGGAATGCTGCTATCCAAATGGTAGTTCAGGGAGCCCCGTCCGGTCATATTCGCATCGTGGGCAGTCGACTGCAGCCTTTTATTGGAGCTTTAGCAGAGTAAATCGAACTGAGACGTTGAATGTAAATTGATCAGTCCAGATAGCGCTTTCTCATTTACTACAGACACTAGAAAAAATGCCCCCGCCCCCGCATTCAGTGTACACACATCTGCTTGTTCCATCACCGAACTCTTGTCACTTTTTATTCAGCTAAATTCTTGAACCCACTTTCAAAGAAGTTTTGGTGTTATAAGACTTTGATTTCTGCGAAAATTCGTCTGTTTTCCTTTAGCTCCCCCTCACTGAAGACGATTGAACAGTTGTTTTAGGAAGCGAGAACCGGTCAACCAGTGGTCTGCCCTGTGATACGAGAGAGAGATGAAACTCAAGCCTAAGTAGTGAGAATATTAATCTACTTTGTTTTGGAGCCGTATCGCTTCTGGTCCATTCCAATGCCTAAAATAATAATTCAAGCACGTTAAAACTTAGTTCCCACTGTAAAGCTTACCGTACCTTGTATAGAATCTCTACCCACCGGTTGAAAGTAAATTATATCCAGTGGCAATTTAGTGTTACTGCGCTCTGCGTTTTGAACACAATGATCTAAGATGGATTGAAACAAGTAGTGTGTGTTGGTCTTCTAAAGGAACTGGTTTGTAGTTCTTCGGGTTGATTAAAAGAGTTCCGTGGTTTGCTGAAGATCGCCCAACAGCTATACCTGTGAGCCAAATCAGCGAACACTGCACTCTGTATGCCTCATGCACTGATTGAAACCTCTGGTGAGACCTCTGGCAGACAAAGAACAGTATCATACCAGTCTGACTGATTAAATCACTTAACACCTTTTTCATAAATCCAATCTTCAACGTCTGTTCCGGACCCGTTCTACGATCCCCATGTTTAGGATCCACCCACCTCTGTATTTCGTATTCACCTTTGTCCACCACTACAACAGAACCAAACGCATGGTAACGCTCAGATGTGAGTCAAGGTGGTCTCCTGGACAAACTAAGCGAAAGGGCGGTGGTGGCCCGGTAGTAACGCCACCAAATTATCACCCCGCGGGGATGTGTGAGTTCGACTCCCACCATCACCGTCTGACTTTACCCATTGTGTGTGTTGAATGGCAGCCCCGTTTGATTGGCCACTTCTTCCCCCCCCTTCCTGAAAATTGTACCATTGCATGTTCAATAAAAGGAAGTAAAAGAAAAAGTAGAAAGATTAATTTCCTTCGGTACCCCCATCACAACTAGACAGACTAGGCAATCTTGTTATGTGAAGTAGATCATAGAGGTTTTATGACTACGAGACCCCCAGTTTAGGCAACACGATCGACCATGCATCAATTTTGTTTTCACTATTGGCATAAACTGACCGAATGCAGTCGCACTAATCTATCCACCATGTGGAGTTTCTCGTTTTCGAACTGGCATTATCTCATATGCGTCCCTATTTGACCTTTGTCAAACCTTCGGTTAACTGCCGGGTTTGTTGTAGTCAACGAATTACAGATTTTCCTCCTGTTAATCCGATATTGTTGTAAGCCGTGTTTGTGTACGTTCCATTCCAATTAGGTTGTAGCACGCACAGGTCAAACCACATACAACGGCATAGCTGATGCAGCACGTAAGATTTGGCACGAGGAAGGGGGTCGCGCGTTTTGGAAAGGTGCAGGAGCTCGTGTGCTCCGCTCCAGTCCACAATTCGGTGTCACGTTACTCACTTATGAAATGCTGCAGCGATTCCTGTACATAGACTTTGGTGGCCGGTGAGTTTTTGACCAGTGTCAATATCTGTCTGTGGAATTTGGTTTCTCGTTCATAATGAGCAAAATATGACATTGCAACAAATTACCGACACATGTATGACTTCATTTCGTTATCTCTATCCCGCTGGTTTACGCATCTGTTTAGTTCCAACCGTCTGGCTATTTTCGAGGTTTATCTGTTCTCTCAATTTACCCTAGTCCGATTGTTTTCGCTTGCCAGCTGTTTCAAGGCTGTTTTGTCTACTCCTCGTTGTATGTTATGCTGATTTTCTGTTCCGATGCGAAAGTCCTTTCACTTATCTACCTACTCAGAGGTTTCAGTGTACCAGCTAGATTGATGCATTGTTTCGGTCCTAAAAACAAGCATTGATCGGAACAGTTCATTGGATGTATTAGTTTAGTTTTTAATTAGCCACGTACACCATACGTCAAATCCCGTCCCAGCATTAGTCCGTCTTTGTTGTTCGTGTCCAGCGCACTAGCTTATCTTGTCAGTACGTCGTGAAATTAGTGGTGCAATTAAATTTTCTAACCTCTTATATATATATATATATATATCATTCTAGGGAATTGGCCGGTGCTGGTCTGGAACATCATCATCATGAGCCCGCGATCCCCGCCAATCCAGATCACATCGGCGGTCTCGGATTCGCGACGGCCACGTTCACTGGAATCGAAAGGAAGTTGGGCTTGTGCTTTCCAAAGTACAAACTGTCATAGTTCCAAACCACTGGCATTTTCTCAAACCACAAAGCGGTTTGCTGTTCAACCTCAGGTTTCCTCGTGCACTCGACGTGTTTCGGTGCAGCAGCTTATTTTTCTCCTGTCCTGTTCAACCGAGAACCAGTCTGAGATTTGCAACCCTACTCACTCTCTCTCGCTCACACACACCTCTTGCTCCGTTGTTTGACTGATACTTACTGCGCTCGAACACACTCGCACGGGGACTTAGTCATCGCATTTGAATTATCCTT